TCTATTTTTTAAACAAAACTTTATTAAACAAGAATACGGGTTAAGGAATGTGTTAAGAACAGAATATGCGATAAAAAGAAAAGGCCAGGCGATGAAACCAGGTCAAGAGGCTATAAAAAGGTGATGGTAAGCAACGAAGGCAACACATTTAAGCTGGGCCAAACAGTTCTGCATAAAAATACCAGATTAAACGTAATTTAAAAGAGAACTTGGTACCAAACAGGAACAAAGCACTTCTCTTTAAAGCATTTGATATTATGTTGAGATACATTGCTGACGAAAAAAAAAATTGAAGAAATTAACGAAAAAAAAGAAACTTCAGAAAATAAAAACACAGTATGTTGTTTAAAATGACAAATAACTGCTTTAACAAGAGGCAAAATAAAATGAGCATGGCAAGACTACTGGCTATCAGAAAATTAAGCTGATATGGCAAAGGGTGAGCCCGGAATGTCCACATCACCGTATTTGATAAATATAAAACCCTTGAGATTTTCCTGCACAAGATATCTGACTGCATAATGGCCATTTCCAACATGCTTCACATTCACCTCTTCACATGGCCCTTTCGTTGTAAGAACACCAACAAAAAGGATATTTTCACCTGAAAAACGGCTTTTTCACACACGCGCGCACGTGCAAATTTATCTCTGTTGTTCATTGTGGAAGCTCCTTTCTGCATTGCTTCACTACATCAGTAAAAATAATCACAATCAGTAATCAACAGTAAAAAAATAATCAGTTTTTTTCTTATCGCCTATAAAATGAAATAATTTGCGACGTGTTTCAAAAACGCCAGTATTACCCGATGATACCGAAAATGCCGGTGTTACCCGATGAGTTCAACATTGCCTAAAGCGTTCTCGCTCCCATACCGCGACAAGGTGTCTATGTTGGGACTCCGCAGGAGAGAGGGTGAGGGGCTACATCTATTTGCCTCTAAGGACACATGACGTCTCAAATCACGTGGCCTCTCCCACCCAACAATCTCTAAATTTAAATTCAGAGCTTTAAAACTAAAAAATTCAGAGCTCTAAAAATTTCCATCCAACACCAAACGCTTAACAAGCTCGAAAAACGCTTCGAAAAAAGAACGCACCGGTACGACTAGTGTCAATGCTGAACATAGCCACCTGGCCTGGAACAAACTTGTGCAAACCGTCACCCTGCGCCTTCACCAATGCACCGTTTCCATTCAAAGTGGCAACCTCTGCAACTGGCGTTTTATCCGAAGAATCGATCTGCAAAGATCAAAATTAAATCTGTGTACCAGATTCAATAGGACACAGTAGTCGTTTACTCTAAGCGCCTCTTGATATCTGCTAGCTGCAAACTAAGAACGTCTGCATTATTTTTAAAGTAGGCAGTCTCAGAGTTCCCATCCACTTCTGATCCGGCCTTCGAATAGCTGTAACTTATCATTCGAGCATACCAGTGCAGAGATGCTCCGAGTTTGGAGTCGTAAAAACCGAATGCCATACAAAAGTACCGTTCTCAAAGTCAAATTTTTTCCTTTTGCAAAATAAAACTATCAAAAACGTACCGCAAATTGAGCAAGCCCCTCTTCCCGCCCCCTCTTCCTCCCCCCAGATTCTCGTGCTAGAGGAAAAAGCTCCGAACAAGACGAATGAAAATAACCTTGACGGAAGAAGTGTCTGGTGCACAGCCACACCACAGTTCTTTGCCTTCCATAACAACTTTAAACGGTGAAGCCGGAACGTGAATACCTAAAAGTGCCAATTTAAATCTGTGCAAGTGTACAATGCACATAAGAAAGACATGGGAGGATTTTACGATGATTTTAACTGCCGAAAAAAAAAAAACGAAAGCTCTGCTAGATATCCGAAATTAAAGGGAAACTAGGCGTTTGCGACTAATCGAAAGAACACTGAAGCAGCCGTTCGGGCAAAAACAATGAAACCCAGTGCTAATATAACAGTTTATGCAGTTTTAAACTCGTCAGAGAAGGAGGGAGCAACAAATTATAACTGCATTGGTACTTCATAAGCAGCGGAAGCACGACAGGCTAAAAATGCAACCGCCGTGTTAAATCAAAAAATTTCAGGGGCCACACAGGAGAATGTTACAGCGTTTTTTTACAACAGTGTAACAAATAATAAAATGCGATTTTAGGATGATTTCTCGTGATTCAGGCAATGAGTTTCCAAAAAACAAACCTGCATACTTTATGCCAATATAATAAATACCGGGCGAGAATGCCGTATACTGAACTCGACAACCTCCTTCCATCTAAAAAATTGGAAAAAAAAAA